TAGGGAAAGGGGGCTGAACATGGGCAGAACTGTTCTGGGCCACCTTGTACTGCTGCAGAGGGTCCATCGAGCATTAAAGGCAAAGCTCCAGAGGGTCCATCGAACATTAAAGGCCTTTAAAGCTCCAGAGCTTGGAAGGATTTAATCGTAGTGCAGACGAGGGTTTGGTAAGGATGGCTCCACAAACAGTGACTAGCGGGATGGGCCCTGAGGGACATGATGAGAGGGGTGGAGGAATAGAACCAAAGGCTGGGATATGGTAATGGATTGGAGTGTTTGCGGGGGACACTGACCAGCTTAGCTGAAGCACTGGGTTTATGCAAAGAATCATCAGATGAAAGGTTTGAGAGGTAAGGAGTGACTTGTTGGTGGAAAATCTTAAATGCCAGATTAAGGAGCTTATTTTCTTGACCAAGAAGAGCCACTGAAGGTTCTGAGCAAGGGAGTGACATCTGCATCTCCATAAGCATCACCAAAAGCATCATCAATATTTATTAAGTACTTTAAGTGTCAAGCCTCGTGCAGGCATTTTCTCATTTAAGCTCTCACAACAACCCTAAGAATTCCACTCATGATTACATCCTCGTTGTAGTAATAATACCTGTTGTAATACAGCTGGGGGAAATTATGGCAGAAGGTTGGGTAAGTAAACTCCTCAAAGACCACACACCTGGTAAATGATGGGGCTGAGGTTTCGGCCTGGAGCCACCTGACTCCAGAGCCCAGACTCAGCCTCTCAGATCAAGGTCTGGAACATTAATATTCTAGTGGCGTGCAGCTTAGATTGGACACTAACAGAAAGCAATTTATGAGCATCCATAACTAATGAACAACAATGGGATAATGACTGTAAAGTGCATAGAGAATAGTTCTTGGCATTTGATAACTCAATCCATGGTCAACATTATTATTGGTATTGAGCGTCTGGTACATTTTTATCCCTATAGGGGAAAGTTAAATCTAGTTAAGGGCAGCAGATTGATGGGTGTGAGACATATTTTAAATTGCTATAAATTAAGGCACAATAATAAGGTTCAAATATCTGAGGCATATAATGCCTTTGGGGTGTATCTGCAGCTCTGCCGCTCGTGAACAACGGCCTGCCATCTTATACCCCTACCTTCACTGGGTCATCAAGTCCTATCATTTCTTCCTTGAAAAATCTCACAGTTTTTCCCTTTGTTTTGTTTCCAATGAAACTACCCAAACTTATGTCCTAATCACCTCTCCTTTGGCTCTGGCACCAGCCTTCCCACTGTTCCTCCTTGCCCTTTCCATCCTTCCTACAGCATGGCCACAGATACATTACAGCAGCGGTTCTCAGACTTGGGTGAGCAACAGAATCACCTGGAAGGCTCCTTACATCACTGATCGCCCAGCGTTGAGGACTGAGCAGGTGGGAGGAAGTGCAAAATGTCATTAGTTCCACACTGCCTGCAAAATTAATTATACATCCCTTAGCCTGTCTTTTGAGGTCTTCTATTTATAACCCCAACTTAATTTACCAGGCTTGCTTCTGGTTATCCCCTTATGCCCTATCCTGTTAACACCTGCACCTCCAGAGCCTAGCCACGCTAGGTCTGACACATGCTGGCTGCCAGGGGAAATTCTTCATCTCATTAAGCCTCTGCTTCCTCGCCTCCCGGATGGGCGTGTCATTTCTCTGGCAGGGCTGGATGAAGATTTGCAACATCAACTCAGCAGGTAGCAATGCCTGGCACAGGCAGGGGAAACTTACTGCAGTTAGTTCTCTCATCATTTAAATACAAATCAGGGGCTATTTTCTTTTAAGAGCAAGGTAAACAGTTAAGTCATTAAAACACACACCCACACACTATTACACCCTAACCACAAGAAATTAGTTAAGAATTTCAACAATGGAAAACCAGGGAAGGAATGAAAAATATTTACAGAAAATTGCATTATAAGGGAACATGTTAAAATTTTGGCGTGCAACCGTTATATACGTGAACTAATTATTTTTCTTCCTTTCTTCCTTTTTTAATTTCCTGTAAGTTACACCTGCTCTCACGTATTAATGAATGGAGGGAAAATGGTGACATAAATCACTTCCCAACAATTAGGGTTTTCTGGGAGTGGGGGTCAGGTCAGTTATTCAAAGAGCTTGATGATACGGTGCTTAATCTGGGGGAAAGGATTGTGATTTGTGAGAGAGAACAGTGCTATTAATACTGCTTCCTTTACTACACTTCAGCACTGTGTTTTTCCTAACTGAACAGAGGTGTGAAGAAATGTGTAAATCCTAAAAACCTAGAAATTCACAGCAAAGAGGATTAATATTACCATATTTTGCTGTTAGAAACCTTCTGCTTCTGCTGAGACACAGAAATGACCAAGTTTGAATTAAGAGGACTCAGTTGAACTAGGACTTAAGCGCAGATGCTTCCATGCAAGGAGAGAATTTCCATAAAATAAAAAAATTAAAAACTGCTATAGGTCCTCTGGATATAATTTGGGATTACAGTAAGAAAATGGGAAGGAATACATGGGTAGTGATAATAGTAATAGCTAACAATTATTGAGTACTTTCTGTGTGCTTAATAGCAGCATTTTATATGGATTAATCTAGTTTATCCTCACAATAATCCTATAAAGTGGGTAATATTACCCCACTTTCCAGGAAGCTGAATCAGAGAGATTAAATAGCCTGCTGAAGGTAACAAAGCTAGTAAATGGTGGAGGAGGAACTTGAGGCTAGACTGTCTGGGTCCAGAGCCATGTTCTTAACCACTAGCCTATTATTCTATTGATCATTCAACAGGTGGGTAGAGCCATGACACTGATGCTGATAGGAAAATGCATCCATGAGCTGCACTCACGGCCTGCTGGGCCTGCTGACTGTCTGTTCGCACGAAGAGGAGGATTTTGTTGTCAGACATCCCTGAGTTCCAGGTCTGGCTCTTATGGATTATGTAACCTTCAACAGGTGACTTAACCTCTGAACTTCAATTTCTTCACCTCAAAAATGAGAATAATATATATCTGATAGCCTTCTCTCAAGCAACCAAATTCATGCAACCAAAACATTTTTTGAGTGTCTACTAAATGTTAGGCATTGTAGATGCAGGGGGTAGAAAGGTATCACAGAGCTCATGTGCTCGAGGCGGCAGAAGGGAAATCAAATCATCACACAGTCCGAGGGACGGTCACACAGAGCTGAGCTGTGAGAACCCACTTACTGTGGGGAGAGGTGGGGCGGTGAAGGCTGTGTGTGAACTGAAGGGAGACCTGAGAAATGAATAGGAATTAAATAGGTAAAAAGCACTGCAGACAGTGAGTGAACAGCAACCTTGCAGGCCACTGTGAGCTTTGGTCTTTATCTTGAGAGCAATCAGAGGTCACTGGTAGATCTGAGCAAGGAGAGTGACACAGATTAAATAATAATTGGGAGTGCCTAGGCACAATGCCCAGAGTGTAATGAGACCCCCATCCCTCCATTCCAAAAGTATCTCTGCTCTGACTCATTCCATTTTAATAATAGGGCTGAAACAACCATGCAAGATTCTAAGAGACTATCACACAGCCTTAGAGATCAATCAACACCTACTCGATGTCCTGCCCATTCCAGGACCATGTCCAGACATTACAAAGGATGCAAAGGTGAATAACAGACCTGGATCTCATGGAATTCAGATTCTAGTTAGGAAGACAAGAGGACAGAAGGCTTCGACAGCTCCTCTCCTTAGGATAAAGTCCAAATTCCTTAGCTGGTAGGTAGGGCCCTTCATGGTATGGCCTTTGCTGATTTGCCCCACCTTGCTGCCCCAGCTGTCACCTCTTCCCCTCCCCTCCCCTCCCCTCCTCCACCACCAGCAGCCACCTTTCAGCACGTGGGATCACAAGTTGCCCATTTCTGAATCTTTTGCACATGCTGTTCCCAGACAGCCCTTCTGGGGTTTTCCCAGACAGCCCTTCCCACCATGTCTAAGAATCAATCCTGTTTATCTAAGCTTTTTCAGGGGATCTGCTATTCCCCCCAGGCAGTCTACCCTGACTTTCCTGGGGGTGGGCAGCCCCTCTCTGCTCTCCTAACCTTACGGCATTTATCACATTGCTGCAGTTATGTTATCAGCATGTATGACTCCCTTTCTAGACTCATCCCCAGGGGGCAGGAATGAAATTTGTTCTGTTCATTTTTGCATTAACTGCCAGTCCCCAAAACAATATCTGACATAGCTGGATTGCAAAAAAAAAAAAGTAAGGTGAGGGAAGCTGGGGCAGCTGGGAAGGAGGGAGAGGGGATTATTGTGGGACATAGTGAAGATCAATGAGTTTCGATGATTAAAGCCCATTCTTTTCTCTTTTTTGCAGTAAGATGTACATACAGTAAATGTACACTCTTAAGTATATAGTTTTCAAGTTTGGCAAAGGTATACACTGAAGTGGTTTTTGCACTGTATGCGTCAGAAACTGCTTGTACCATTGTACTCTCCCACCAGCAATGTATGGCAGTTCCAGTTACTCCACATTCGCACAAACATTTGGTGCTGCATCTTTCTAATTTTAGCCGTCCTAGTTTATGTGAAGTGGTATCTCAATGCAGTTTTCATTTGCAGTTTCCTGATGACAACTGATGCTGAATATACCTTTTCACAAGTTCACATGCCATTCATACGCATTCTTTTATGAGCTATCTACTCAAATCTTTTGCCCATTTCTGAGTTGTC